GTTCTTTTAATAAAAATTTTATATAACAAGCAAACCCCTATCAGAACTGCATAGAACAACTTTATTATACAGCCGTATACAATAGAAGACTTTCATTGTATAATCCATTCATTAACAATTCACATTCCATATTTCCCCTGTTTTCATATAACAAAAGCGTTTGCAAAATCAAAAATGAAAATTGTGCTTACCGCTTGCCATGACAGCAAGGTGTAATTTCCCTTTGCATCACCATGATCATTGATACGCATATCAAAGCCTTGCATACCTGAATGCAAAGGCAATGAGAAGCCATCTTCCACAGAACAGAAATGGCCTTTACGATTCGCTGACTACTTACTCGAATACTTCCTGTTCAAAATCTTCTTTATAATAGCTGCTCCATCTCTTGTCGGATCATAACCATGCGCTTGCTGTTCATAAGTTTCTTCAATTAGCTCATGCAATGCTCTAGCGTAGAGGTATACAGCATCGTAAAGGTAGCAAGCAAATCGATTCACCTGAAAAAATTAGATAATGCAAAGACATGTGTTGGGTGGTTAACATATGCATACCTTGATTGACCAAGTGTGTTCATGCTTAGTGATGCCGAAATTCGAAAGATCTTTCACCGCCTGTTCCCAAAACTTCTTGAACCTAAAATTTTCAATTGCCTTGTTCGGTAACGAAACATCACCTGATTTGGCGCAGTAAATATCAAAAATTTTGATGGAGCTTACACATTGAAATCACGTCTGCGCAACTGACATGCATTTAGAGCTGAGTTCAGCTATGTCATCTAGCTTTCATCTTCAAAAATTCGATAGATATCGTACCTTGCCGAGTTAAGCTCTACTGGTGTTGGAATTATAGCAAGTGCGGCTCGTGAATATCCAATGATACGATGATCGGACGAATTGGAGACATCCCAAGATGATTGCAAGTCGATCATCGTATCTAAACATTAACTGACGTAAGCAAATGATAAAGATATAATAATTGGTGGAAAGGACTGCAAACTGCAATGCAATTATTCGCTTTTCCCAAATACAGAACCCACTTCAAAACGGCTCAGTCCCCTCCAAGCTGGCGAAACTCAAAAGGAAATTTTCTCCCTCCCTTCGGCTTTACGCAAGTACATTTTCACGGATATTTAAATTCAATAAAACCATTTTTGTTTGAAAAAAAGCACAGCATTACTGTTTACAGCAGATGGTTATTCTCGTTGCCAACTTTCTACAAACTAGATCCTTACTGTCAAAAGTAAACTAAATTATAGAAGACAGCAGTCATTGTGTATCTTCCCTAGAGGTAAAAGTGTTACTGGTTACTACACAGAAAATCTCCAACCAAAACCTAAGACACCTACTTCGAAAGAAATGATTGTTCATTGCATGATAGACATTCAGCCAATTGTAATCGGCATCCAAGTAGATGAGAAGGTACTGCTGCGAGTCAGTCAGGCCCATCTTTCCCATCGACATCAGAATTTTTCGGAACAATCGCACATTTCCAAATGTAACGTACACTAAAACTGTGTTATTAAATGAGAACGCTATTTTCGTGCATACTCACATCTCGTCATATCCTTCGTCTGCTCGATGACGCTGTCAATAAGTTTTTCCGATTGCACTTCACTGAATCGTACTACCTTCGACACATTTTGCACCGAATAACGGATCTCATCTACTTCCATGTGATTGTTTTCCACGTCTATTGCATGCTAAATTTGAACAATTGTTGAAGTAATACTACCTAACAAACATATTCGCGTTCTGAGAGTATGCTTCAAAACTCGTATGGATAAAAAACTAATCGAAAAAAAACGTTCGTGTTCTATTTCCAAAAGTGCACATCCCAGCGCGCTGATATTGATTGTCAGTAAGGTTCCCATGGTTACAGAGCTGCATTTTCACTGGCAGTACGGATTACGTGATTCATAAACAAGTAACACAGCATATAGGAAATTTTAGAAATTTCTAAGTCAGCCTTTTTCTCAATCCATTTTACACCACAATCTGTTCACAACGAGGAAAAAATTTTAGGAACCTAAACATATTTTTGGAAAAAGGGAAATTTCACAATGTGTTACCGCGATAATCTTGGATGCATTCCACCGCTAAATTAAGTGATATTTCAAAGTTATCACGGGAAAAGGAGAAGAATGAGTAGATAAAGATCAAAATTCCGAATAGTTTCCAGCAGTCATTGATTAATAACAATTCTTTCGATATCGAATGAGTATCCGACTCCGGAAAGGTATGGCTTAG